ACCTCCACTACACGTTTTTTACCTATAAAACAATAAGTTACACACATGTAGTATTTATAAATTTGATACTATTCAGGTCACCTTCAACACTCAGTCACACACCCAGGGCCGTTTCAAGACCTTTTGGGGGCCAAGGCAAAATGCCCCCCCCCCATAACTGGGCTTCCCAGAAGCCTCTGTGTAATTCATACCCTCTCCAGGAGTGTTAGTTATACAGTGTTTATAAAAGCCCCTCGGGCATTACTGACATGTTCTAATATTATCAGATGAAAAACTAAATGATCAGACATGCTGTCTCATCTGCTTCTTTTCTAAACTTGCAGAAAGTAACAAAACCATTTGAAAGCCACTATTTGTGGATTCTCTGAAAGTTTCCATGGAGTGTGTGACAACTTATTTTTTCAGTCATTTTTGGAAATAGTGATCAATTTTGATTAATTCACATTTTATGTTTAATTACATTTAAAAATTAGTTGTTTGACATCCCCAGTTATGATAAATGTCTACAGATGAGATCAAACAAAACAGATGAGAATTGCCCTTAAGCTGTTTAATTGGACCAAGCATTTTAGGTCACAGATAGATGTAGCTTAGGGTCTCTGTCTATACACCTTATAAGACAATTTAGGTGATGGCATGTTGTTTTTCTGCTATTGAACTGTTTTCTAATAATGTTGTGTTAAATAAAGTGAAGGAAGGAGAGAAATAACGTTTCCCTAGCAGTTTTTAAAAATTTCCCCATGTAATCCGATTAATCGATTAATCGTGTCGAGACCCCATCCGATTCATCGATTATCCAAATAATCGTTTGTTGCAGCCCTAGTCCAAACCTCCTAACCTCAACGTGACATTTTCTGTCTTTAGTTTCGAATAAATGACCATTTTTGCAAATTACTCATCTGTTTCTAGGAGTTATCTATTTGACATTTTTGATGCGCCTGTGAAACAGACATACAACTTAACAAGAAGGACTTTAAATGTTTTTATCACACAGTTTTACAGGCTGCCTCATAGTGTTAAAAAAATCTAGGCTAAATCTCTCTCTAACATGCCACAGACTGCCATTCTTCCCACATAACCAAACATAGCATTTTTCTTCAAGCTTTCGCATCCTGTATTCCTCCACCTCCAGAGAGGTTGTTTTCATGGAGATTTAAGTAATTAGATTGCCGTTTAATCCCTCTGCCTCTATGAATACAACAGCTATATTTGATTCCGTGTCCAATCAACACTATTAACCATGTCAAGCAAGTCTCTGAAAGATCAACTCGGGTCAATTAGACAAATTTCAAACATCTCTGTTGGAAATTTCTGCCTGTTTTGAAATGGAAAGCGTGCCAGGAGTTGAAGTGGTTTGTTAAAAATGTGCCTCTTTTAGTAAAGACTTTGGCTTTCTGCTCATACTCCACAAGTGAAGCAATTCAACCAATCATGACAGGTATAAGAAGGCAAAACACAGCTTTTGATGTTTTTAAAGTGCCTGCTTAAGGACAGCTCTGTTGATGTGTGACATGCATCTGTAAAAATTCAGGGAGATCCTACGTGTTTATCTATAGTAAATCTCAAAAAACACAAGTTTTTGTATTTGAATAAGTATAAACATGTTTTAATTGATACTGTTTGCACATTTTACAGCCTCGTTGGTATTTGTCAGCAAAACACTTACTCCAACACAGCAGTGAGGATAGTACACATTAAACAAGTTAAAGTTGTGCTGACTAATGCACTGTAATGCAAGATTTCCAGCTGCTGTTAGATTAGCCAGAGGCTAATCCGTTATTGAGTGTAGTAGATGAAAAATGATTTAAACAGCAGTCTCATCAGTAAGTCCATTTTCAGTCATCCGTCCTTTAATCCTGTATTCACACTGTCTCATTTTAATTAATGCTCTGTCTCTGTACCCTAGATCACAGGCCATCATTCAGCTCAGCTCACCTCTCTGTCACTGAACTGCTGTTTAAGCACCTTTCGTGTTGTCCTCCCCACGGCTGTACGGGGAATCTGCAATGATTTTAAAAACACTTAAACACATGACAAGTCTCCTGTAGCTCAAACATCAGAGAGGACGGGGCGATGTGGCACTTCTGGAAAATCAGCAGCCAATTGAAGTTTAGCCGGAGGCTTATCAGTTGTTGAGTGGTAGATAAAAAATGATTAAAATGGCTCTGGAGAGGAGAATTTCAGACTTTGTGGAATGGCTGTGACCACTAAAACCAGTTTATTGATAGCCTCTTAGCCTCATACGTTTAAAATCTCCTTCCTTTGTCATTTTTGTCACCCCTCTGTTCCTTTTGATTATGCGCCGCAGCAGGCTGTGATGCTCTTAAAGATGGTGTCAGACCATTCTAACATAAAGCAAGCCCATTGTCGAGCTAGGTTAGAGTTAACACTTAGCTGGTGCCACACATGTGGGCTGTCTCTGTGCAATGCTTCTAATCCCACTACAGTTTGCTCATGAAGCTAAATAATAACATGACCCTGTTTTTAATTTGGGGTTTATCCTTGAAATATAAAGAAAAAAAAAGATATAGAATTTATGAACTACATTGCCCGGCCAAAGAAACAAAAGTCACACACTCTAATATTACATTGGACAACCTTTAGCTTTGATTACGACACACATTCGCTGTGGCGTTGTTTCCATAAGCTTCTGCAGTGTCAGTAGATTTATCTCCATCCAGTGTTGCATTAATGGTCACCAAGATCTTGTATTGATGATGGTAGAATCTGACCGCGGCACAAAGCCTTCTCCAGCACATCCCAAAGATTCTCAATGGTGTTAAGGTCTGTGGAAATAATGTCTCATTCTCCCTGAGCCACTCTTTCACTATTTGAGTCTGATGAATCCTGGCATTGTCATCTTAGAGAATACCCGTGCCATCAGGGGATACGGAATAACCTGGTCATTCAGTATATTCAGGTAGTCAGCCAACCTCATTCTTGGAGAACGTCCTGTTGCTGAAACTAGACCTGAACAAGCGCAGCAAGCCCATATTATAGCACTGCCCCCACATGCTTGTTCAGTAGGCACTAGGCATGATGGGTGCATCACTTCATCTGCCTCTCTTCTTACCCTGATGCACCATCACTCTGGAACAGGGTCCATCTGGACTCATCAGACCAGTTTTTAATAATGCGTTGGACGGTTCTTAACCCAGTTTGTCATTTCTACAATCTCCTTAGAGGTTTTCTCTGATTGATGCATGCCAATGATCTGACCCTTCTCAAACAGACATCTTTTCCATGGCTGCCAAATGCATCTTTCCACATGGTTGTTTAAGAAATCAGAAGCAACTCATTGCACCAGTTGGGGTTCAATACCTTGTTGCAGCTGAAATATAATCACCTTTGCAGTAATTATCCAATAGGAGGCTCCTATTCATTTTCTTAGAGACTTTAATTTTTGACCAGGCAGTGTATTTTCTGAAAACAGAAGCTCCAGATGTGTCAAGGTTTTCAGAATAACTCCTTCTATTTCCAAGATTCATAGAGAAGGGATTTTTTTTACGTCTGTAGACAACTGTGACTTTGTTAGTTTTTACTTTATTGCAGTTTGTTTGATCGTTTAGTTTTACATTTAACCCTGTGAAATATGGATAGGCAGTTCAATGCAGTAATTATGTAATCTATTACATCATCTTTCACTGCATTCATTGTAGTGATTCACAAAATTAGCAACATCAATTAGGCTGTATCATGAGTTATGTTTAAGTAATGCTGCTAAAAAGTACACAAAGTTGACTCCAGTCATTAAAAAAAGAAATAAAAATCAACAACTGCTATTTCATTCAGTTTGTTCACGCTTTCTTGGCCATTAAAGCTACGTTGATCAGTTAAAGACTGTTAAACAAACACAACTGACAAAAATAATTACCTTTTTATCTCGAGTTGACTAATTGAAGCGTGTCGATGCATAGATTAATAAAACAAAACAAGTTCTTGCAAGTAGACATAAGGGCTGAAGATTCTCAGCCCTAGAAGGTTGAAATATGGCAACTGGAATTTTTTACTTACTTGATTACATTTTTCTTCTCATCTGAGGAACAAACATGCAGACTAGCAAGTGTTTAAACTATAGCAAGAACTTCATTAATGCGAGCTAGTTTAAAGCTCAGTCCCGGTTTTCTCTCACCTGGGCGTTGCTAGGGTCATTGTGGTCATGGCCCACATGTGAAATTTGATCACATTCCTGACTGTGTCAGTACTGTGAAACTCTTGGGTGATTGAATTGAAAGTGGAATTGTACATTTTGGAGAGTTTCTATGTTAGGAATTCTCCATTCACAAACCTACAATGCAGCTCTGAGTTAAATCCAGAGAGAGATCACTGCATTCACACCTTCAGAAAACATGTGGACAACAGAGACATGAACAACTCTCGGGAGGAAGACTGACCTGTAAACTACTTAAAGTAGCTCACTACAGTTTAAAAGCCTGTTAGCCCCTTTCTTCCGTTTGAATCGAGAATGCTTCTTGAATAAGAAGAAACTCGTTTTCAAGAGTTGTTTTTTTTTTTCCTGAACATTTAGGTCTACATCATAAATAATGCATGCATGCTTTGTTTATTGCATTCTAGTTCAGAGGTGACTTTGGACTCACGTCTGTACTTTTTGTGGAATATGAACAAGTGGTTGAACATGGTCAGAGTTTTTGTTGTCTAGGCAACAGCTCACAGTGATATTTCATGATGTTTGACGTTAATTAACTTCACCTTTCTTGGCCCTGTGCTTGCTCATTCTTCTCTGTGACCTCTCTTTTTTGTCTCCTGCAAACTACATCTGCTCAGCACCAATCAGTGAAGGAAATGGTGTTAGGGGATAACTGGTGTATCACACAAAGACGTATATTTTTAGGGCGAGAACAACATTTTACATTAGTCCTGCACTCTTTACCCTTTACCCTCTGCTCTCCTGACCCTAATTAAATCTTTCACTCTATCCCAAGGAGAAAGGACAGGACACATTGGGATCATTGTGTCTTTAGAGAGTCTTGACCACTTACCTGTAAATAATGCATGCACTGTTCCGGCATGTGTCACAGTTGGCCGTGTCCTGTCCAGTTCGATAGGAGAGTCTGCAGGGAAGATGAGAGTCGTGAATGAGTCATTACGGGACTTGTTAAACTGCTGCATTGCACCTTCCTTTCTCATTTTATTTGTCATCTCTCGTTAGCAAGACTCAAATTAAATGAGGGTGAGGAGGAGTCACAGTGCCCTCCTGAGTGCTCCACGCCCTGCAGCTCTGGTGGAAAGATCACAGTGTTAGCCATCAGCTATGGTTCACAGTTTGGAGGTCAAAGCAGTCAAATTGAGGATGCACTGGGAGTTCTGCTCTGCATTTCTGTCAAATACCTTATAGTGCAAACGTTTTTGAATTTCATTTTAATGAACAAAAAGTGAAGTGCAAAGTTGGAATTAAACTTGCAAGATTTACATCTAGTTTTACAGATAATTGAGTTTATTTTATTGTTATTTGGTTACACTAAATGTTTCCCGTTATGAATCAGAATTTCCCAAATGAGCGTAGCAGCAAAAGCCACCCGATCAGTCTCATCGTCGCGGATAATGTGCTTTCACTAATAAATCCCGTCTTTCATCTTTGGAGAAGCAGAGACATTATTTAGCTCTGTCACCACCATGCTTGTCACACTGGCCATCGGGTGCGGCACCAATAAAAATTAAACTATCATAAATTCATCCTTTTATCTGCTGTTCTGCTTCTGGTGCTGCATGCCCTGACAGGTATTAGAGGAGCCGATATCGATGTTAATATCTGAAGCAGCCGCAGATTGAGGTACTGGAGAAAAGTGCAGTGTCACAGTTTGTTTTCTTGATTATATATGGACAAAATATAATTAGCTGGCTTTCATTGGGAGATTGGTTTAGCACAGTACAAAAGGCCACGTAACTTTTCCACCAGGTGAGCCAATCAACGAGGAGCCAACTGGTTGCGCGTCCAACTGGATCGGATCCTCTGAACTACTTCACTCTGTTCTCTCTTTTACTCTCTGTCTCGCACACCTCCCACCGTGCCCTCATACCGAGTTGATAAAAGAAAATAAAGAGAGCAGGGCTCATTTTGGCGGGCCTCCCTGGGGGGAGTGAAGCCAAAAGTGCCATTAACAGTAAGTTTATCCACCCTCCACCCTTTGTGCTACCAGGAGAGCTTTCCAAAAGGTCACTGTGTGGGTGGCAGTCTGGAAGCATGAAAACAAGCATACATACATGGTGCTAATAGACCTAGTCCTAAGAGTGAGATTAATTGGCTCTGGTCTGCCAACACTCTTTGATGTAACAACAATATTCCCAAGTGGTGTGTTGTTAGATGCAACACACGATGTGCTCTAGACCTGTATGCAACTTTGTTCTACAGAGATTTTGCCATAATTATGTGTCTTTTTGAGCTTACTTGTATGTGGAGAGCTTCTGAGTCCAATATGGCAACCGGATCTAAATGGTTTGAATACTTTAGGTCAGGGGCATTCAATTCTGGTCCTGGAGGTATGGTATCCAGCACGTTTTAGTGGTTTCTCTGCTCCAGCACACTTGATTCAGTGATTGAATCACCTGTGCAGCAGCCTTTCAAGCTCTGCAGAAGCCTGTTAATCACCTGGGGCCTCATTCATAAAGCTTGCTTACGCACAAAACGGGGTCGGAAAACTGCGTAAGCAACTTTCCACGCAATCTTTGGGGTTTATGAAAGAAAACTTAGCGGAAAAATGTGCACAACTCTAAAGTTGACTAAGGACCTGGCTTACGCACATTTTGGACATGGAGAGCACCTGCAGTGCTGCTGCTGAGAAGGATAAAATTATGAAATCCTGCAGCATTATCACTTGTACTGCTTTTTTTCCACACAGAACAAGACCCCCCACACGCACACACGCGCGCACACTCACACACGCGCGCGCACACTCACGCACCCACACGCGTGCGCGCACACACACACACACACAGAGCCTTAAGTGCAGAATATCAGCAGGGGGACAGATTGAGACAGAATGTCATACGTCTGTGACAGTGTGTGTCCTGTCACTGTGACCTGATTGATCATGCACCCTGGCTACTTGTACAGGGGAGATCTCTGTTTGGCTGACTGGTTAGCGCGCATGATTTTCACCCGGGAGTCTGGGGATCAAATCCCGATTGGACCATTTTTTTTTTTATATCCGTCACAGATCTCTCTGAAGAATTCACATTGACGGCTTCAGCAACCATGTGCCACTCGATGGATTTTCTCTTATTTGTTTTGCAAAACCACTTCCTTTCTTTTCTCCACCTCACCCACAGGTACCTCAACTTCTGCTTCTGTGAAATTGAGCTTCCTTGATCTGCCTTGATCTACGGTCGCCATCGTCATTGGCGGAACACTGCAACAGCCAGCTTATGTATATGCATGAGATCCACAAGGCACTTTGCATTGACTATTTATGGTAGTAAGTGGGCGTGGTGAGGGCGGGATGTGACTAAAAAGCAGCTGAGAACGTTTCTAGATAGCTTCTGATTTATGAAGCAGAGATTGCGTGCAGCTGTGCATACTCCAGGTTTGATAGATCACAAACCTACTTGGCATAAATGAAAATTTTTTTGCTGAGCTTAAGTACGGTTTTAGTAAGGATTCTATGCAATGTTTGATAAATGAGACCCCTGCTGATTGAAAACAGGCGTGTTGAGGCGTGTTGAAGCAGAGTTTAGACTAAAACGTGCTGGATACCAGACCTCCATGCTGAGAATTGAATACCCCTGCATTAGATCCTCAATTTAAAGTTTGGGGCTCCACTGTCAGTCATAATGCATAAGGAAAGGGATCTTGAGAAGTTCTACGAAGAACAAATACCCTTAATGAGGAGCTACTCAAAATGTTTCTTCACAAATCAACTGGTTTGGATCCTCTTGGCCCTTTCTTTCTGAAATTAGCAGCACATGTATTTGTTACTCATCTATTTAAGCGACTGATTACTTTCCTTTGATATCCATAATAATACACTAATTTCCAAAGACAAATTGATGATTACCTTCCTGTACTGCAGTAGGTCATATTTATTAATTGTGCAAACCACAACTTGGTAAAAAGAATCCTCCCCAGTTCTGCCTCTAAAAACATCTCCATAAACTTAATGCCATTTATCACTCTCTTGTAAACTGGCCATCATTACATTCCTCCTGAATGTTACATTTATATCAGTGAATTTATTAAACACACATTAGCAAAACTCCATACCTTTGCTCACTACTATCTCCAATAATCATCGTAATTTACAATCCAGCAACTTCATCTCTGTGCCACTCTTAGTCATTCCTCCTTTTAGTTTGCTTATCCAAATGACTAGCCTGCCAAGACCGCCTGTATTTGTGAATATACAGTCTGACCACGACCCATAGACACATCTCAGTCGTGGGGCAGAATTTATAGTTATCTTCTAAATTGTCTCTGCATGCTATTGGACAATGAACAATGTGATGTGCTCACCGCTACTGATGCCAGTCTATGGGGCAGTTTGCCATACACAGCCAAATACATCATTTTTCTAAATATAGGACTTAAGAACCTGTATCTGCTCTTGACTCAAAGAAAAGCTCAAGTTTGAATTGTCCAAAGCTGATGCTAAAGCCATTTCAAGTGAGTGGAGCTGCCACCATCTTAGTTGTTTCACTCCGTTGCATCATCCCGCCCATCAAACCGACAGAGTGCTGTGATTGGCAGAACACAAAACTGATTGGGCCATTGGTAGACCTGCTGAAGTTACAATGGAGCGTGGCTAGACTGACACACAGAACAAAATCATTTTGAAATAAAGGTGAAATAAAAAATATAAATTCCTGCTTATTTACATTAGATGACTACATGATGACAGGAGAATGCAACCTGCAGTTCTGGAGCCATACATGGCTCTTTAGTAGGGTTGTGTATTAGTGAAATTGTGGAGATACGATACGTATCATGATACAAGTGAGACAATACAATGTATCGTTATATATCGCAATACCTTCAGTCAGACGCTATTAGCGATTTAGCTTTGACACCATTTATTGTAGGAATATTCCATTAACAGTCCAAACTGATACCTAACATGTTTAACATGAGGTATCAGAACCATTATAGAGGGATTTACATTTCAACGGTGGAAACAAAACCCATTGCACACTGCTGCTAACTAGTGGTCGGCGTTTGAATTCCACCAAAAGAAAAGAAAATACACAAATGTTTGCATGTAAATTCTTCCAAAAATTAGATACACAACTTTTGAAAATCGATATAATGTCCATTCATCCATCCATCCATGTTTGGCCACTTATCCGGGGTTGGGTCGCAATGGCAGTAGACTAAGCAGGGAGCAGTGATATAATATCACAGGAAAAAATATCTTGATATATTGCCATATCGCTATTTTTGATACACAGCTTTTAAATATTGATATAATATTGCTAGAAAAAATCCCAATATATTGCTGTATCAACATTTTCTTACATCCCTACTCCTTAGCTATTCCCATGTGGCAACTTGTAGCTTTGACCAACGTGATATGATGCTTATACGATATTCAATTATCAAAGGCAATTATATTTTTAGCAGTTTGGCCTCCAACTTTTTGTGTTTGAGGCTTCTGCAGTGGATTGGCACTAATAATAAAGGTTAGTGGTGAAAGCTAATGCTCTTGCTACTTCTAACTGGGAAACTTTTTTTACAATAATGGGAAGAACCTATACAGGAAATTGGTCAAACCTAAGCACCATCTGGCTTGAAGCTGTTGAATAAAGTGTAGGACACTTGAAGGGCTGTTAAATGAAAGAATTAAAAGTAATACTTGAGCTCACTGATAAATCCCACAGCTTACTTTTTATCTAGCATCAAAAGGTCACTCTGGAATATAAACGGTTACTTTCATGGGTCAAGTCAACTTTGCAGCTCCATGCAAATTCTATTTACTAGAAGAGATGGAACAAAAGTATCCCCTTCAGCCCTAAAGGCTGCTTTCTTTAGAACGTTGGCTTCCAAAATTGGGTTTGGGAGTCTACTGTTGGTCATAAAACACTAGGTGAGGACTAATGAGAAGAGGTGGCTACAGCTCAGACCAAAAAAATTTTAATAAAAAAATCAAAAGTAAAACTTATGTTTCTGCCTTTATGGCTGCCCAAGAAGTTCATTTTTATTTGGACCAAAGTACACCAGTTTAATGGACGCTTCAATGGATTTGAAAACCTTGCTTTCTCATGACAGCAATGAGCCTTAAGAACAGGAAACATGAAACCAAAAAGAGAATATATGTTTGCTATGGATCTTAAAGCAAGTAGGGGTTTCAAATATAGCAGACAAGAACCTTAAGTTACCACATTTAAACTAGAGAGAACCAGCACCGCTGGAGGCAACAAGACACTGGTTCCATGAATCAGACAGAGGTAGATCCTCATAACTGCAGCTGCTGAATGTGGTTTTTCTGGTAAGTGTACTATCAGTCATTGCTATTTTGTTATTGCTAACTCTACATTTGACACCTTATAGAAAAATTGCGTTGTCTTCCATGTAGCTGCTGATGGACAGTGATGATTGATTGTTTGTTCTGCTGCCTCCCACCGCACAACATCGTTTCTGAACCGGATGGGGAGATTGGCAGCTTTGAAAGCTTCTGTTTAAAGAAAAAACTGATTTAGCTTTTATTCCTCAGACTTGGAGTTTCCTGGGGGTTTAAGGCTTACAAGTAACAAATAAGAAAAAAGAAAAGAATGATACTTCCTAATAATATCTCTCCGTGTTTGAGTTGAGATATCTTTAAAAGGAGATCCAGTTTTAGTTTAAAGCAGCCATTACCAAGACTTGATGTTTGTTTCCTTTTTTCCCTGTTTTGTTTATTTTTATTCCACATTTGTCACAATGATGCAGCTTAAATCAACTTGCAGCCTGTTTCTCAAACAAGATTTACTAGAGTGTGACATTTTTTGCAAGTACTGGGGCACTGTGAACTATTTAAAATGAAGCTCCTTTTATTTTAGAGATCTTGGTTTATTTTGATCTGCCAATTCCCTCTCTCTTATCTCCGTGTGTTGTTAAATAGGCCGTCTCATTTCTGTGTTTTTCCGGGAAAAGGATCAGGAGTGTTGTAGCAGGCCTCTTGTTGAGAAGTCCTTGTGATATTTGCTTCAATAAAATATTTCCAGAAACCAGTCCTGCTGTTTTTACACCTCACCAGTGAGACTCTAATCCATATCTCAGTGGCATGTGTTAAACACGTAGGAACAAAGTTACCTTGAATTATCTGTTGGATAAGAAAAGCTATTGTAGAAGAGATGAAGTTGTACTCATTCACCGGCAGCCTGTGGGCGATTCTACTTGTGGTTTTAGTGACATTTGAACAAGGAGAATAGAGAGATAATGTAGTGTGAATAAAATGAAATTTAAATGTTTCCACGCCTCGCTAAATTTCCACCTTTCTAATTTAGAAATGTACAAAAAGAAGACATGTTCATGTTCATTTGGGACTGAATGGATTACAGGGAGATTATTTTGCTCACTGACTAAATACATATATTTATAATTAATGGACAGAAGCATGTATTTTTTGCTTTTAATATTTAGACAGATAGTGCCAATAGTCACTACTGATCTCAAAGGAATGGTTGGGGGTTGTTTCTGAATTACAGGAAATAACCGCCCTGTCCACGTTTTGGAAAAATTTGCATGAGAGAGACCGCCCAGTTATCCTCGTGCACGCTCTGTTTACAAGTAGCTGCCAGCCTTGCAGCACTTCTCCTTGCAGTAATCTGAAATAACTTTCTCCAAATAGCGTGCCGAACTTTAGCTTACCTGTCGAGCAGAAAACCGGTGACAGAGGCGTCCGTGGGGAGCCCAACTTTCACTTTCAGCGCACGCCATTGTTGTGAAGATTCTTCTAGAAAAACTTTGGTCTTATTTCTCACTTCGGCACGTATGACGACGGCCTTGCGTGAAAGCTTCACCAGAATCATTGACAGTTATGTGGACCAATGGTTCAGAAGATCCACCCGGAAGAAGAAAGATCCTCCCTTTAATTTGCAAACCCTTTTTCTTTGTTTATTGTATGTACTGTACTTCCCCGCCTGCCAGTCTATCCACATCTGATCACCCAGATGCTAAATCCTCCTGCTGCACCACATGTCTGTTTAATTTTCACTCACAGCTTCCTTTTATGAGTTTGGTGATAAGGAGGCTAAGGCTACTTTTTTGCAAGATAATTGCCTTTTTAGGTGGTGTAAACTCAGACTGCTGTAACATCTCTTCCTCCCACAAACCCTGTTTAAAAGTGTTTAACCCTCATGTTGATACTAACAGATGATCTCAGAATCTTTGAAGTGTTTGTGAGTGAAAAGCGTGTCAATAGTTTGATATTTAGCTATTGAGATCATGTGAAGTATCTGAGACCACCTTCGTTGGTCAGAACTGACTAAAATATGAGTGCTAAACCTGAGCAATTCAATCAACAAATGGTCCAGTTTGTTTGCTTTTATCCTTCGGAGGGTCTGTCTTCTATTCCAGCTGGATTGATGCTATCTGTGGCCCTTTTGTACACACTCGATACCCATAGGAAAATAAATGGCTTTTTCACAGGTTGTGGCTTTTTTCAAAGTCCTCAAAGTAATTTTGGCTATCTACACTAAATCAAGGGTTGCGCTTAAGATTTAAAAAAAATTTAAATCCCAAAACATCATTTTCATATGGAAACAAAGCTCGAATGACTAAAATCACTTGCAAATACACAAAACATCTCTACTGTGTGAACAAGCTCCAATTTGTGTTTACATGCACATCAGTAAACAACTATTGCCTTATCTGAATTATTGGTCCTCATAATGGTCAATCATTCTGGTGAACCATTCATGCAAAGCCGTCGTCGTCATATGTGCTCGTTGTTGGGTATTTTTCACTTCCTGCTCATGCGCAAAGCGATGTTTAGGCTCCCCACAGACATCTCTGCTCGACAGGTAAGCTAAAGTTCAACATGCTATATGGAGAAATTCATACAGATTACCGCTAGAATGGGTTAGCTGCAAGGCCAGCAGCTACTTATAAACAGAGCGTCCACAAAGATAACTGGGCCTTCTCTCTCATGCGCATTTATTTCAGAAGGTGAAGAGGGACGTTATTTTCTGAAATTCAGAAATGTCCTCCGCCATACATTGAAATAGACTGACGTCAGATTGCATGTAAATGCGTTAGTCTGGTTGAAGGTGAACTGGTTCTAGCGGAGCTGAAGTACCCAGATAACGCGTTTGTAACCCGGCTTCCAGTGCATGTAAACGGCTTTGTTGAGCTGGTACACACACCTTCCTGAAGTGACAAGACCACAGAAACGATCTTCTGATAAAGTCGTCAACACAGCGTAACACGTGACACCATCTCACAGTACAGTACGTACCAAATAAACTGTGCTGCAGCATTGTTGTTGTCCATTCCTTCCACCATTGTGCATATCCTGTTTCAGCTTTGTCTGCTTCACTTCCGCCAGCGTTTGTTTACTATTTGCGTTGCTATAGGCTAACTGTAAGAATACCAACAGGAAAGGGTGCATGTCACCTCCTACTGTATTAAAGTAGAACACACTTCCTTCAAAAATCTGGTTTTCTAGCAAACATGTAGAGTAGGATAAAGACTCCCAGTTTATTGCTGTAAATAAATTAACTTGGATGCGCATGTAAACACACTGAGTGAAAGGTTTAAAACTACTATTCATCCAAAACTTTGTCTAGTGAGGAGTTTGATATGCCTACAAGCTCCATAGCACCCAGAGGAGAATCCTTACATAATGGAATTATAACAGATATCAACATGAAAGCCACTTGGTTTCTTCTTTAAGCCACTTGTGGTGGCATTTAGGTAATTACATATTTTTTTGCATTTGCATTTTTATCTGTAGACATTTGTTTAACTCCAGCTGGCCTTATAGTATTAGTGGTTCAGGTTAAAGCCCTGCTGCGACTAATCAAGGGTAGTGGTTGTGTTTGTATTTATTTATTTTCCAGTTTGTTGTTACCTGCACACTTTAGTTATGGCTGGATGCTGACTCATTTTCAGAGCTACATTAATCTTTAGCCTCATGAAAATTTGCATGAAAATGGTTTTATTATGTTCCATTCAATTAGCTTTATGATTAGTAAATGTGTGCAAAGGAAAAGCAGCTGTACGGGGGTTATTGCTTTGAATTAGCACTTTGAGTTTTGAATGATGTGATAAGATGGACCAAAAAATAAACTGTGCCTCTCAGGGTGTAAGTGTGAAGCCCGATGTCTTACCCTTCACGGTGGGCTTCTCCCTTTTCTAGTTCCTGGATGACCCCAAGCAGCACCTTGATGGTCTCCTGGCTGGAGCTGATGAGGTTTTCCATGACTTGGAGCTGTGCTTTTACATCCCTGTCCTGATTCACAGGCACTATTTGCTTACAGGATTCCTGTGTTTGGTTGGGTGGTGTCCCAACAGCCACGGCGCTTACAGAGGGCCACAGAGGTTCCTCCATGCCCCGTAAAGGCTGGGCAGATATCTGTCCTGTGTGGCACTGTGCCTTTGTTGTACACCCTCCGCTGGATCGTGGTAATGTCTCACTCGACAGCCCGTTGAGCTGGAGGCCTTTTTTTCGTTTGTTTTGCACAGATGGACTATCCAAGCACTCCACTTGCGTTAAAGAGTTCCATGCGATGGGGCCTGTAACCTTGGAGGTCCTGTCCGGGAGTGTTTGGGAAGAGCCCTCTTCCAGACTGAGCAGTTGTCTCTTGGCCACAATGTCCACATCAGCCCCCCTGTGTTGTAATCCAGTTCCACCTTCAGACGGGACACTACAAAGCCGGTACTTTGTTTGTGCACCGGCTCCGCTTCTTCTTGGTGTGTCTGCAGTGCAACTGAGCAGTAGAGCGTCAGAGCACAGGCCATCCGGTGCACTGTGCTGCTCCACTGTGGCGATACACTCATTAGTATGGAGGAGAGCCCTGGTCCTCAGGACTCCACTCCCCCTACTGGCTCTTTCTTCCTCCTCATTTAAACCCTGCTCAGTCGCTTTGGATTGCTTTACCTCCATAACAAACCCGTTATTCTGACCTTTATACGTTTCCACCGCTGCCACATGTTTAAATGTGTGTCCTTTTTTGCGCTCAAATGGGAAGGTCTGGTAGCGTTTCTTTAGATCAGGGGACGTCTGGACGCCTGTGCTCTTTGTGACGTTAGGGATGGATCTACGGGCAGGGACGGTCATGTACTTGCGGTAAGCCACCTTATACGACAACGGCTTGCCGCCCTTCCCCGCCGCCTGCAGCTCTGCCTCCCTTTGCTCGTTCTGTGCCTCGCAGATGTCCTTGAAGCGCACTTGCAGGGCCTTGTTTCTCTTCCTCACCTGTCGACTCGCTTCCAGGGAATACTTCACCTCCAGCGCCAGCGAGGTGGAGGGCAAGGGCGCTGCCTCTGAGTCAGACTCAGAGTTGGTGAGCAAGCACTTGCCACCCTCCTTGCTCACCATGTTTCCTGAGAGGCATGGAGAGAGAAAGCTGTGTTAATAATTAGATATAGATGGCAAGGACACTTTCCTCAAATAAAATGTGTATACAGAATTTCATTCCAGCAAAGCTCTTCATTCCTTCTTTATTGCTGCATTTCTTCAGTCTTTCATGTTTGCCAATTTTCAATGCTTATGCAGTAAACCGTGCACATTTATGGTGCAAACATGACTTAAGAGTATTACAAGCGATCTTCTTAATGTGTTTTATCTTTTCTTTGAGATTAGCAGCTCTACTTTGAGCTTCATTTATCTTTTTTATTGTCAGTTAACCGTTTTACCGCCTGTTTTCCTCTTCTGCTGTTAAGTTGATTAATGTCTGTTGGCTGGTTTTATGAGAACTTTTATGGTTTGTTGCACTTTAAATTATATCTTATTTGTAGATGATCAAACATGCTTTTTACGGCAGAAGGTGTGCGTTTTGCTGGTTTAATAATGCTTGTTGTCTTTAGAGCAACTAAATCCGATAGATTAGAGTGTTAAGAAGGTGTTTCAAGATTTTCTGGGCATCTGCTTATTATTATTATAATTATTATTATTATTTTGCAGATCAGAGCTCAGCAAAGTCCATTGCAAATGTGTCTATTCCAGTGTTGGTTTACATAACTCCTAAATGGACCAGAAGCACGTAAATACCAGAGGCTGAATCATTTGGCTTAAGGCTTAAAGGTTCCATATCATACTATTTTAAACCTTTGAGAGCACACGTAGGCACAGTAAATGATAAAATATCACCGTTGGCACTTTTGAGAAGTCATATATCTTAAATACAAGTTATTTTCGTCAGCCTGAATTTATACCAATAAAAAAATCTCTTTGTTTCAGTGAAACTCTGCCTTTGCACACTTTGACTAAATGTATCTTTAAGAGCATCTTGGTTACAGTGGCTATGATAGTTCAGAGATTAAGACATCTGCCTGCCAACTCTGTTTTGTTGTGCTGATGTCGGTTCGACTCCTGGTGGTGTCAGCAGTAATTTATTTCACCAGCTGAAGCAGATTTCATGTTTTTTTTATTTTAGTTTTATTGATTATTTTCTGCCAAAACTTGTGTGTCTCTAAACATCTTTGAATTTGGTCCAAGCAGCATTTTAGTTGATTTACTCTGCTCACCTCACATGGACTCAACCTGGAAAAAAATAAATAAATAAATAATACATTTTAGTCCTTGTATTTTAAACAGTTTACTAATAAAAGGTTGAATACATCAGACTGGCAAGTGTAGCTAACCCAGACCAGATTCAGGGGAGAGCAGGGCCTGGTGTCAGGAGCTGGAAAACTGAGTTTTTACATTGGTCTGTTTTCACGAATTTCAAAATAAAATTCCAAATTTGAAGCTGAAACAGGAAAAAAATCATGAATGCAGCAAAAAATGGGGTTGGGGTATTTTTTTTTAATATTACACACTAAAAAGCTCCAAAAAAGTGGGCTTTCCATGATATGGCCTCTTTAAAGCAATAGTTATTTTACCTATCGACCACAAACACATCTGTTAGTGAGTATTATTTCATTTTTGTTCACTTTTAGACTCTTTTATCCATGATGGTACCGATGGCAGTACTGAAAGTAGTATTTGAGGCTTGCACTTTTCACAGTCAAGGACTGATTTACTAAGAGTACATGACCCTCTTGATGCCATGTTTGCCCCTTCCCCATCTATGCAAATGTTTTAGTTATTTTACATAAAATGCTTTTCCAACACATGTACACTGTAAAACTCCTAAAGTAGAAGCGAGCACATGATGATGTATCAAACCAAAGGCATGCTACCTGCTCTGCTGTCTGTGTCTGGGGCTCTAAAAATAATATAAACACCCCTGGCCCCCGCCAACTGATTTACCATAAGCAAACACTCCACATGCTTATAGATGCTTGATCAGATAGACCAATTATACCTCTCAACTTATCTGTCATGACTGCTCTCTGTCAACAATAAATACATCTGATTTCAAGCCTGATGTTATCCTCGCCTGCAGGTATAGATAGGGCGTGTTTTTCCCTCTCTGGTCTTCAACACAATCTCTTTTTAAATGAAGGCATTTGGTATTTCTGCCTCCTTTAGAGGACAGAGCCTTCTTTGACTCTCTAATTTCATATCTGGCATGATTCTCATGTCTGTGGACATTTGTCTGCATAATTTGTAAATATTGTAATATTATATGTTGTCAAAATCATCCTGTCACTTTTCAATGGACTCTCTTTTGTCGTTCCTCCTCCTTCGAGCAAGGACTCATAGCTGATCCAGAAGTTCAGTCAGTTTTATTGTGATTTAAATCTTTTCTGAGTACATAAAGCTTCACTCTCGGATCAAGTGTCACATGTGCCTTACACATGACGATTATTATCTCTAGATGTCGTGTCATGTTTGGATTTATTTTTCTCAGGAAAACTGTTTGAACCTGTAAACCATGTTGCAGTTTGACACTCCTCCCTGTAACCAGTCTAAAGTTGGCCACAGGTGTCACTGTGGGGCGAGAGCTGCACAGCATGCTTGTATTGACAGTTTGCAGATGGCAGCTTTTCTGCTGTGCAAGCAGACGCTTGTTTGATGCTCGACAGACAGGGTATTACTAATATGAGCAGATAACAGACGAGTACAGTGAGGATGCAGTCACTTTTATGGACAGTGAACACATTCACAATACACAACAGGGATGCACACACTCATGCAGGCCAGTTATTTTGTGTTAAGTTGATTGACAATAAAGTTTAATGTTCAATGTGGACAATATGAAACTTTGGTTTTGCCCTGCTTATAAAACCAAAACCAGTGCATCTTTAAGTAAGACCATTGACAAAATGTAAACGACCAAGTGCTTTAGTACTTAAAAAGTATGTATTGATGTTTCCTGCTGTCTGCTTTTGTACACAGTTAGTTTCAACCATGTTTGAAACATACGTAGAAGAACACTACATCACTGTTTAATGCAAATTTACTAATTTTTTCATATAAAAAATTTACTGAACATTCTGAGTATTTAGGTTAGAAAAGGTGCTGCTTGGTGGTGCAGATGTTAGCACTGTGGCTTCACAACAAGAAGTTGCAAGTTCGAATCCTGGCTGTGGCCTTTCTGCATTGAATGTTCTCCCCATGCATTGATGGGTTTTCTCTAAGCGCTCTGTTTTTACCCACGAGCCAAAGATATGCATGTTAGACTAATTGGAGACTCTAAACTGTCTGTGTGTGAGTGAGTGAGAGGCCCAGTCCCAATACTCGCACTTCCACCCTGAATTGCACGTTACCGTCCAGTGCGAAAGGTGTCCTGATTCCTTGGACCCATCCCTTTTGCACCCTTGATCCATTTCTCCAGTGCGAACTTCAGTGAAGGGTATTACCCACAATCAATTGCTCCATGCAAAGTTTGAGAAGAAGGCAGAGAAATGGCTCAAGTGTCCTTTCCAAAAGGTATCGAAATATTAAATATTTTATTATCGTGTACTTGTATGATTACAATCAAATATTTCTCTGTTGGAAAGATGCATTACATGTCTGTTGAAGAATACTGTTAACTTATATTTACTTGTTTTAATAACTTTCAATTATAACATCATTTCAAGCAGCAAAGTAGCACAAACAGCGACCAGCATCCCATATTACGGTCCATGATGCAATACACACTCTGCAGTTTTTTTGCACACTTGTTCTCAATGCACTCCAAGCCTTACATGCACTTCCTCCAAGTGTCCTTCATAGAGGACCGTAGGCTGCAGTGAAAGTATTGGAACTGGGCCAGTGGTTGTTTTTCTCTGTGTCCCTGTGATGGACTGGTAATCAGTCCGTGGTGTCCCCTGCCTTTTGCCCGAGGACTGCTGGAGATGGACACCAGCTCCCTGAGATCCTACTGAGGAATAAATGTTTCAAGAAATACTTGAAATTTTAAAATGTGTAAGAAACCATGAATATATTTTACTGTAGGGTGGTAGAATGTCCTCAAAGAATGGTCGGTGGATTCTTATTATTATAATTTGAATATAAAAAATTCCGTCAATGAAAAAATATTGTTAGCGACTCTTTTGGGAGAGCACGTACAAACTTTCTGAGTGACTCCGGACCTTCATGTTATTAGACTGATTGAGCTTAGAAAGTAGAGTTACAAGAATGTAAAGTAGCAAAACCTCCAACCCATTCATGTTCCAATTATTAAGTCATCTTCTTGGCAAATGAAGCCTTTCAGTTCAAACAAGTCACAATTTCCTCTCGTCTTCTGTCCTTTTGAATGTGGCACATTTGCTCCCAGACTCGAATCTGTTCATCAGTATGATCCGTCACTGCCAGTGTCTTCTGCTTGTTTGTACAGGTGGTGACATGTTGAATAGGAGATCATTTTAACTGGCGTCCCATCTCCAGTGTCAGTCGCTGAATATTTCTCCATAATCTAGGCTCAAATTAGACCTTAGACTCAGAGTGTGCAGGTTTTATATCTGAGTGATTTATTCCTCAGCCTGCAGATTTGTATGGGGTTTGTCAGCACAAACGGCAAGTATCTCTAGTCCTTCGTTTTCCTAATCATGAGCTCCAGAGTGCTCATACAGTTAGCTGGTGTTGTATCATACTCACACCATAATTTGATCCTTTCTGACAGATAAGTGCTGGAGGCTAAATGATGTGTCCCTGGCTCCACATATCTGATTTATTACCCGTTGGGTTGAGTCCGGGGCGACCGCTGCAGCACTCGTATCTCACCTATGGCTGGAACACCAACAATATGACCTCGTCCATAAACAACACGACTCAGCACACAGGCTTAGAAAGCTGACCCTTATATGTGGTGGACTCTGTCCCTTTTAAAAGGAAAGGGCACGCTAGTCAAGTGAGCTGACCCACTATTTCTACTAAAAACAGACCTCATGAAGTGACTTGCACATGACTAAACATGTCAACATGCTCATAGCTGACCTTGTTTGAGCAGCACATCATTCTGGGATGATGAGTCTGAGTTTATTCTAGGGGCACAAGGACATTTCCTGGG